AGGGGACTGGTACTAGATGCTGGGTTGATTAATCATTAAATATACAAACTGAATTATTGCTGATTTTTCCGTTTTTTTCCTTTATGATGAGGTTTTCTCAGTTTGCTGATTGCTGCCTATTGAAGTTAGGTCAGAGCCTGGGAAATAGAGGCACTGTCTTCCTTGTTCCAGGGGGATGTCTCCTAGGACCTTGAGACATTGCTGAGTTGTAAAATACAAGAGACTGCTATAAAAGACTTACAGATACCTCAGAATGGCAGGGCTAGAATTTATAATGATTTTTCTAAGGAAAATGCTCTTAAGAAAAGGTGAGCTAAATTTGGCTTACTACTAAAGGTACCCGCCACCAAGTCTGATGATAGGAGTTTAATCCCTGGGATCCATATGGTGGAAGGAGAGAAAGTGACTCCTGCCCCTTGTCCTCTGACCTTCACATGCATGCTGTGGCATGCTTGCTATCCCCACAATAAATAAAAATGTAATTTAAAAAATGAAAGAAAAAATGAAGCAGGTGTGGTGGAACAGGACTGTAATCCCAGCAACGGGGAGGCTAAGGCAGGAGGATTGAGAGTTTAAACCAAGTCTGGGCTAGCTACATAGTCAGACCTTGTCTCAAATAATCAAAACAGAACAAGAACACCATGAGGGGTGGGATGGGAAGGACCTAGTTAGTAAGTAGTGTGTCTAAAGCTTAGTCAGGCTGATAAGGCTGTTTTGGTCAGGTTTCTGGAGTCAGTATTTGAATAGTGTGACTTTCTTATATCATGGAATGGGGAAAATATTGTAAGGATTAAATGACATCCATACATCCATGTAATGTGCTTTAGTACACTGTACTGGTGTATTAGCTTTGTGCTTTGTGTCTCTTTAACAAAATGCTTGAGATAATCAACTTAAGAGAAAAAGTTTATTTCAGGTCACAGCTTTGAAAGTTCCTATCTGTCCTTGATCAGCCCTGTTGCTTTGGGCCTGTGGGAGTCAGCTGGTCATGATGTAAGTGCTTGGGAGAGCAAAATACCATGAGCCAGGGAGCATAAAGAAATAGCAAGGAGCAGGGTCTCCCAGCTTTGGTCAGTTTAATAGCTTCTGATTCTGTAGAATACTTCATTACAACAAAGAGTGGTAAAAGTTTGAAGATCAGTGTTCGTTGCTGTTGTTGGTAAGAGTCACACTAAATTCTAGTGGATAGTTCAAAGATAGGAACATATTCTTGTCATAAGAGACAACAAATATAGTATACTAATATTAGAATTAAAAAATCAGTTTTCACACTTTTAGAGGTAGACTTTGGGGATCTGTGGTAAAGGAATGACCGCTGCTTTACCTGAAAACCTTGTACCCACTGTGATGCCTGTGCTGGATTCTTAAGTAGCAGTGTTGCTGAATACTGGTGAAGTAAGTAGAGCAACAATGCATGATGCTGTAGAGAAGTGCTCTTGTCTGTTCCTCAGTGGAAGCTGTGGTGGGGAGAAGAAATCAAGAGTGAAGGTTGAATTTTCTTCTTGATGATGTTGGAAAGAATACTTACTAATTGCAGAAATTCTTCCAAGGTAGTATTTTTAAAATGCTGAATGTGCAGCTGGGTGTGGTGGCCCCAATCTGTAATCTCAGCACTCAGGAGGCCAAGGCAGGAAGAGCAGGGATTCAAGGACAGCCTGTACTACATAATGAGTTACAGACTAGCCTGGGCTACATATAGTGAGGCCCTGTGCCAGAAACCGAAATCTGAATGTGAATTTTTATTTACCCATTTCAGAGGGTACTGGTGAGGGTTAACTGAGGCAAAGGACATGAAGCATTTTTGACATTTCCTGTATACATATAGGCATTGGTATCACTAGGGTGATGATGCTGTAGGGGATTCAGTAAAATGAAAGTAGACATAGAATTACACATCATCATGATTTTGTCAGGATAGTGATTACCGACATCAAGAAGGAGCTCCATTACCCCACTCCTCCCACAGCCTCAGGACCCCACATAGTTTGTGATGTATGCTAGAGGCTCTAGATTTGTTGAAGGAATTGAGGGAAATTCACCAACTACTTCTATACATTTTTCATTTTTCTTCCAACTTAAAGCTTGTTTTAATTTTTATTTTGATAAGCAGGAACTTTTGGGGGACAAAAATGCTTTAGCCCTCAAATTTTATTTATTTTATTTTATTAGAATTTTTTTAATTGAGCTTTAGTACACTTCATACAACAGTTCTTAATCAAATTTAGACCCCTCCCCATCTATGCTCTCCCAACCCCCACCAGACTTCATGTGGTCTGTGATACGTTAAGACTTATCTAGTCAAGCATTTGTTCCCAGTTGTTCTTCATTTTATTTTATGAGTGTATGGCCTATGTGTATGTAAGTGCACTGTGTCGTGCAATGCTCATGGAGGTCAGAAGAGGGTGTTGTATCCCCTGGAACTGGAGCTAGGGACAGTTGTTAGCTATTATGTGGGTGCTGGGAATTGAACCCAGGTCCTCTGCAAGAGCAGCTAATGCTCTTAACTGCTGAGCCATTTCTCTAGCTCAAGACCTCAAATTTTATACATTAAGATACTGCAACTCAGAGTTCAAGTGAATTACTTGCCTAAGGTCATGGTATGACCAGTCCATGCAGCCTGACACAGACAAAAACCTGGGCAGAATCTTTAAGCTGGACTTCATTCAGAGAACTGGCAATCTGTGAAGACAGTGGATAAGCATCCTGAAGATCTGTCTTCCATCTCATCAAGTCGTTAGCTATATGGAGAGGAAAAAGAAAGGCAGTCCTTCCAAAGTTTAGTCTTCCCTTTGGTCAGGTGGTCAGTCTAGTCCCTGGGATTCCTGGTGTTGGTACTTTGTCCCTTATCTTAGCTGCTTTTTCTCTGTAGCAGGGGAGGATCCCACTTCCTTCATTATCTTTCTTTGTGTAACAAGGGAGGGAGGGTTCCCTCACCAGGGCTGCTGAGTCCTACATTCCTCCTAAGCCTCCTAGATTAAGAGATAACTCAGCAAACAAATCCTCAGCAGTAGGTACATATGGAGTTCTTCCTACAGAATGAAGTGCAAATGTACTTTTGTAACATATGTATGTAACAAATGTATGTTTTGTAACATAGATTTTGCTGTTTGGTAGGTGAACAAAATGCAGTTGTCTTGAGCTTTGAACCACAGTCCTGAGCTCTTATGCCAGCTTTGAGCTTCTTAACTGCTGGCAAAGCTGTCTATGACTAGTTAACTGATCTCTGTAAATATATTTTCTCATTTACTTAGTGGGGGAATCATAAGGATGTCTTTGGACAAATTTGAGGATTGGCCATGTTGCATATGTTGTACTTGGGGCTTAGTGTATACTTAATACATTGAATCTTGCCTCAGAGAAGAGAGGCATGGGTATTGTTTAAAAGAAATTCACCAATGTTTTCCAAATGACTTTTGTGTTCTCCACAAAAAAAGTTACAGAAGAATACAAGGGAGCTTGTTTTAGTGTTAGGTGTTATGAACCAGTGAGAGAGGGTAGGTTTGACAGCCTGGAAATTTTTTAAAGTGGCTTTCTTTTGTATGCTTGTTTTGAAAGTCTCCTTTGGTGGGTAGTGATGAATGGATGGTAATAGAGAGGAATCATGGTTTTAAGGGGAATTTTTAGAAGAAGGTGGTAAGGTGTTGCTATGAAAGTGTGGTCATTTCTTTAAACACCTGGGTTCCATTCACACTGTTAAGCTAACATAAGTGTTATTCCCTAAAAATTAGATAGTTGGATTTTATTTTATTGATGTGCTATCATTTAACCATGCCCATGACTTTAAAACTGATAACATAGTCTTTTCAGGAATATTTTATTTATTATTTTATTTATTATTTTTATTTTATGTGTATGAGTTATTGCCTGCATGTATGTAAGTGCAACTGTGTTGTGCAGTGCCTGTAAAGATCAGAAGAGGGGTCAGATCACTTGAACTGGAGTTATGGACAGTTGTTAACCACCATGTGGGTGCTGGGAACTTAACTCAGGTCCTTTGCAAGAGCATTCAGTGCTCTTAACTGCTGAGCCATCTCTCCAGCCCCCATAATGCATTCTTATTCTCTGTGACACTTTGAAATGAATTGAATTAGCTAGGCAGACAAACATAATTTAAAACCAAAATGAATCCGTCAGGCAATAGAATATTTTGTCAAAACCAAGTTATGAATAAAATTGCTGAGTTGCTTATCTTCTTTTAATTGAGCTTTTAAAATTTCATACAATATTTCCCATTCACATCCAGACCCCCTCCCCCATCCATGCCCCCCAACCCTATGCACTCTGCCATACATGCTGTGTCCTATTCATTCAGGTGTTTGTACCCGAATGTCCTTCAGTGTAAATGCGTCCACTGGAGTTCAGTCAGCCCATCCAGTGGTCATATGTAAGTCATATTCTTCCTCACCCAGCAGCGGCTAGTCTCAAATAGTTCTCGATCTAGTGCTGACCCGCCACCTATTGCTCACCTCCCCTTTGGGCCCTTGTTTAATTGAGCTGACATGGGTCCTGAGATTGATGCCACCAGGTTGCTTATCTTTTTAATCTTATAAATTAAATTCCTGAAGGAGTTCCAATATGTTTTATATATGTCTTTGTTGAAATAAGTATGCTACATGATATGTATGCTAACAATTTCCAAACTGTTCAGAAAGTTTAGAAAAGCTAGCTGATTGGACATAAGTACTGAAACTATCCACTGATAGAAACAAATCATGTTCATATCTATTTAGCTTGTCTAGTTCAAATTTAGAAATTTTCTTTCCCTTCTCTGGTTACATTTATTCTTCTTAAGTTTTAAGCAAGGTTAATTTTAGAGCCATGGAATCTTTAATGTTGATATAAGTAATATATATTACTCAGACATAAATGTTGGTAAACTTTATACATTTGGAAAAGGCATGGTTAGATTTCATTAGAATGTTTTAGATTAAAATATGCCTCTGTTTCTTGAATATGAGAAGGGAAATTTTTGAAATAATAAATTTTCCCCCTTTATTTAGACAGAATATTGGTGAAAGTATTCTTTACCTGTGGGTAGAGAAAATAAGAGATGTTCTGATACAGAAATCTCAGAAAACAGAGCCAGGTAAGATTGGAAAATATTCCCTATGCTCTTTCAACTTGTAGTAATCACATTTTCATATGGCTATTGTAATTGAAATTATATATGAAAGTATATATTCTGGTTTATGGTTTCTGTATAATAAAAATATTTCTCTGGAAAGTTTATTTACTCATGTAATTATGTTAATTTCTTTCATAAGTTTCCTTTTGGATTATATGCATATAAAGTAGAATTTTATGGTGAAAGAATTTGAGTCTAACATATGTTCTGTTTTAATGTCATTAACATAGTAGATACTTTGTAACATTCCTCACGAGTTATTAAATAATTCAAATGAATACATTGGTCATCAGAAAAGAACCTTGAGAAGTATTTTGACAAATATTAAGATATAGGATTTAACTTTAAAAGAGACTTTTTAATTGAGATATAACTCACATGCTATAATTATTCACCCTTTTAAATAAAGAGTGCAGCAGTTTTTGTTATAGTCCCAAAGTTGTGCAGTCATCATCACTATCCAGTTTCAAAACCTTTGAGAATGGATGTTCTACTCTGTCCAACCTTTCTTGAGCTGCTGAGGGTGTGGCAGCAGGGTTCCTCAGTGTCCCATCACTGCCTTTGCTGTCTTTGTTTCCCTCATCACAAAGGCCTTTTAGAGAAAAAAATAACTCTCTTTACCCTGGTATTTCCAAATGGCTTTTATTGTTACCACTGGTAAAATTGTTTTCAGTTTTGGGAAAAAAGAAATTATAAAAGGACCAAGTAGCTTATTTAGAATATTTTTTAGAGGGTTATTTACAAGGAACTAATCATTTTTGACTTCCTTAGCAAAATAAGTACACATTTAAAGTTGATAGAAGTATGCATGTTTTCAGATAATTTTTACTGTTTTTATATAGAAGCACAAGTTTTTACTGCTTCCATTTAAACCAGAGAGAGAAGTGACATAAAGATACTTATCTGTGTCGTAATTTTGAAGTATTTTTCTTGACTTTTTTAAAATCCATGTTCTGATTTTGCAGCATTCAGAGTGTGTATGAGAACAAGGGGCTAAAACCCTGAAAACAAAAGTAATTTTTGCCAGCTTATCTCCTAGAGTTAGAGTAGTTGGAGAAATGGAATATAGTCTAGTAGAAATTTAGAACGCCACAAAGTTTGGAACATTCAGCTCTTAGGATATTTTAGAAATGTATCTTAACAATGTCGTATTTCCCTTCCCCTCTATAACCTTATGGCATTTACTCTTCAAAGTTTGGAGTTACTAACTTGTGTGATAAAATTACTTCATAATTTCTTTTTTAGAAATTTTATTTAGGTCTTTTTCTTTGAAACTGTTTTTGGACTGGGGATGTACTGAGTGGTAGAGTACTTGCCTAGCTTTGCAAGGCCCTAGGTTTGATCCCTAACATCACCTACAACAAATAAATAAATGTATTTTGCAGACCTAAAATAGGATTAAATAATCCTGAAGTAAAGAATGGTGCCTAGAGATCAGGACCCAATGACTTTTGTAAGTGTAACTTGTTACTGCTTCATAGATCAGTCATAATGTCTCCTATCCACACAGGCCCAGATATAAAAAAGAAAACTGAAGAGGAAGACATCAAATGCGAAGATGATCTCATTTTAGAATGTCAGCCAGAAAATCCAGTTAAAGCTTTGGATTTTGCTATTAGTGAGCATGAACCAGGTGTGATACTCGTACCTAGTTTATTTGGAGGAACAGGGTGATAATATTATGAATAGTTCTTTGGGTTGACCTAGAAACTTAACAAACTCTTAAATGTAAGGAAGTAGTTATTAATTTGAAGATAGTCAAAATTGATTTTTTTCTCCTATTAGCCATTTTGCTAAGAGTTAAGGGATATTTAGTCATTCTTAACCTTGGAAAGGAAAAATATTGGACATAATATTGTATCTAATTATAATTATATGAAGTATGAGCAGTTTTATTAGGAGGTTCTATGTTTACAGCCACGTAATCTGTGAAGTCAGAGGTTTCCTGACACAAAGGTCTGCCAATAATAGAATGGAAAAACAAGTTGTGATATAAACATTTGTCAATCATTGGTCTGAGTAACTCTTTACATTCTTCTTAGAAAAATATTTTACGTGTATGAGTGTATTGCCTGCATGTACATAAGAGCACCCATCTTATGCAGTGTCCACAGAGGTCAGAAAAGGGTGTCAGATCCCCTGGAACTGGAGTTGTGGACAGTTGTTAGCTGCCATGTGGGTGATGAAAATTGAACCCAGGTCCTCTGGAAGAGCAGCCAGTATTCTTAACCACTGAGCCATCTCTCCAGACTCATGAGTACCTCTTTATACTCTTAAGAATTAGCATGCAAACTATACACTACAGCTGTGCAGAATTTTATTCCTAGCTCTGTCACTTTTGCTGAGTGACATTGGCAGATGAAAATCAACTATAAGTCATCTCTTTATCTATGTACAATATATTTATGACCATTTTACTTAAAATTTAATTTTGATAGGCAATTATTGATGGCTGCTTTTGTTTAGATTTGCCACATGATTTATATTTATATCCCAGTTCTTTCTGGTGTTGTCAATTTTCCTGTATTTGAATATTAAGACAAAAAATTAATTAATTCTTTAAATTTATAGAAATAGAAGAGTTACCGCCAATTGATCATGGCGTTCCTATTACAGACCGAAGAAGTACATTTCAGGCACACTTGGCTCCAGTGGTTTGTCCTCAACAGGTAAAGTGACTGACTAGCTCACTTTGATGTTGTCTTACAATAACACCTTTAGTTTACTCTTACATTTTTCACATAAGATGAACATTACTTATTCATTATCCCACTCCCAAATTACTATGAATCATGGAAGAATTGTTCTTTCTTTCAAAACTGTCTCTCTTTCAACACTGCTGTTTTGTTATTATTTTGTTGAGGGTTAGATCCAGGACCATGTATGTGTTATGCAAACATTCTATCTGAGCTACACCAGAGTTGTAGTTAAACTCTGGGGGCTTTTTCTCTGATGAATCTTTAAGATAAAAACTCCCATCCAGGCATGGTGACGCACACCTTTAATCTCAGCACTCAGGAGGTAGAGGCAGGCGGATCTCTATGAGTTCAAGGCCAGCTGAGGCTATAGAGAGGCCCTGTCTCAAAAAGACCCCCCCGCAAAAAAAGAAGGAAGGAAGTCTCATTGTGTTGTTGTAGAAAATTACAAAATAGTGATGTTTAGGAGGTAGCTAGAAAGAATCATTCATTCTACTGAGCGAGAATAGGAAACTCAGTTCACTCCACTGTTGCCTGATGAGGGAGAAGCATGGGTGAGCAGTTGTCTAGTGTCTCCTACTAATTCCTTTTCCTTTCTGCTTCTTGGTTTTAGTTGACTCTGTTCTTACCAAAGGGTGAAATAGCAGACCTGGTCATCAAAAACGCTACTCCTAGGTCCTTGCTTTTCATTCATTGTCTTTTCAGTGGAATCTTCTTCGTTGCTTCTATGAACTAATCCAAATTGAATGTTATTGATGTACAAGGCATTTCTAATTCTACATGTGAAGTTAAATAATTTTTAAAAAATGTCATTATTCACCACAAGTTTTAGGGATTAATCTCCTTCCTTTGGTCTCTGTTGCTACTCTAAACTCTTTCTTTTTTCTTTTTTTTTTTTTTTTCCTTTGCAGTGCTGGGGATCAAACCTAGAGCCTCACACATCTAGGCAAGTGCTCTACACCCTGGCCCTCTAAGCTCCTTGAAAGCCCCAACTTTGAGGACTACAATTTTTGTACCAGGACTTTACTCTTAGTCTCTGGGAGAGGAAGTTCTTTTCTATGTAAACTTGTGCTCAAGATGACAGCTCTGGTCTAGCTGACTGAGATCTTTTCTCTCTGGAATCCTGTTTTATCCTTGGCCTTTGTTCACAATCCTCCCAGGATTCTCCTTAGACACTCTCTTCTGAATTTGTTCATCTTGTGTTCTCTTTCTGGTTTTGATCACAGTTGCTTAGACTGTGAGAGCTGAAATAAGTCTTAGACATCATTGTGTACTGTATTTTATTGATCAGGAATCTGAGAACCTGAAAATGAGAACTGATAATCACAGATTGCAGTTTGTCACCAAAATTGGCCCCTGATTCCCTCTTAGTTTCCCTGTTCTTGGTATTCCTCTTGGGTATCTGACAGTCTGACCATATCTCACTCTTTTCTCCTCCATTCTCCTCCATATATAATCCTTGCTGATTTCCGTCATCTATAAGGGAAAGTCTAAACTCCTCACACAAAGCCATTTGTGTTTTATCTCAACTTAGCAGTCTCGGTATATCGTGGTACACCTTCTGTCATTTTATTCATACTCAAGCTGTAGTACAGAGAATTTCCAGAATCTTCCTTCTTCCTATTTCTCCTGAGGGTGCTAGATAAAATATGGGATGCCAGTAAAATCTGAGTTTCAGATAGATATTATTCATGGGAAGCATTTATACTTATTTCTATTGATATGTATTTGTTGTTGATCTGAATTTCATTTTGACTAAACATTATTTACTTTTTCTAATCGAATCCCCTAGTCCCTGCATCTGCACTTGCTTCTCCTCTGAGTGGAGTTGTCTTCATGCCCCTTCTGCTCCTGCCTTTCGTACAGAAGAACTGCCACTTAGACCTGACTAAGGGAGGACCTCTGTGATCCCTGTTTGAGTCCCAGGAAAACTTTTGGCTTTTATGATATTCAGAATATACCACGATTGTATATGTACCACATTAAGTGTATAAATTGGTAAATTTCAGAGCTAGTTTCTGGAAATTGTTGTATTTACATTACAGATTCTCTTTGTGGGGAACAAATTTTCATAAACTCTGCCTCAGACAGAGGAACTAAACATCTGTTCCGATAGCTGGAGTTTATAGATATCAGGTCTGTCACTTTTATCCCAATTAGAGTACCAGTGTCTGCCCCTAAAGTTAGGAAAACTTTGCTATTGATCTTTTCAGAGCCTATTAGATTCTTTAAATGACTGTTTCAATATAAAATTTATATCAGAATGCTTTAATTCAACTTTTCTAGCATTTACAGAAGAAATAAAAGGCATACTTGTTTATTCATATTACTGCTGTTTTTAAGGTGAAAATGGTTCTTGCCAAATTGTATGAGAATAAGAAAATAGCCAGTGCCACCCACAATATCTATGCCTATCGGTGAGTGATTTTCACAGCTTTGAGAGTATGCAATTTGTAATCAGTGATTAGGTAATTATGCATGATTTTAAAACTTTTATCATAATGACAATAGACCCGTGGAATATTTGTGTACTGCAGAAAAGAGAAAAACAAATTAAAGGAAAATTAAGTATTTTCTGCTACTATGTAACTGATAATATTTGGTGTATGTTGTCTTTTCTGTGCAAAGTTTACTTTTTCTCAGTACTTTACCTTGTGTCCTATTTATTTTAACAAAAGCACTTTCCTACAACTACTTGATGCATATGTTTTAGTGGCTATATAATATTTGTTTGGGACTCTGTACCACAACTTACTTGAGCATTTCTTTTTCATTATATTTTTTTTCAGATTTTTCACTATTATAAAGAATAGTCTGGTGGACGTAGTTTGGATACTTTTTAGATTCAGTTTGCTTCACCTTTGGTGTGTGTGCAGGTGTGCTTGCCCAGGTGGAGGTCAGGTTGATTTGGGTGTCTTTCCTCTGTTGCTCGCTACCTTATTATTTTTTAATTAATTTTTTTTGTTTTATGTGAATGAGTAATGAGTGTTTTGCAGGTAAGTACACCTGTGCATTCAATGCCCATGGAGTCCAAAAGGGGGCATCGGATCCTCTGGAACTGGAGTTTCAGATGTTAGCTACCATGTGGGTGCTGGGAACCAAACCCCTGTAAGAGCAGCCAGTGATCTTAAGCACTGAGCCATCTCTCCAGCCTCTCTATCTTAATTTTGAGACAAGGTCTCTTACTGAACCTGGAGCTCACTGTCTCAGCTAGACTAGCTAGCCACCCCAGCTCTTTGCCCCCTCAGCACTGGGGTTACAGGTGTACATTGTAGCGCCTGGCTTTTTACATGCATGCTGGGGATCCAAACTCAGGTCCTCATACTTGTCCCCAGCCACACCCACCCCCTCCTCTTGGGGATATAGTTAAAAGGAAAAAATGTCTTATAATAGAATTATCAAAAAATATGGACACTCTTTCTTTTGGCCTTTTGGAGACAGGGTCTCATAGCACCGGCTGGCATGGAACTCACTATATACACCAGGCTGGCCTTGAGCTCATAGAGCTCTCTGCCTGCCTCTGCCTCCCAAGTGCTGGGATTAAAGGCGTACACCACCATGCCTGGCAAGTATGAACACTTTTGAACCTTGACAGATATTTCAAATTTTCCCAAAGTTTTTCAACTTTTTAAAATAATGTATGAGCAATGAACTGAGAGTACTTTCACTGCATGCCTTTCAGTTTTGAGTACAGTTGTTGCTGATTTGTAAATGAAGACATAAAGGGCATTAAAAATATGTAAAGCATTAAGATTTAAAGATAGAGTTTAGGCCTAAAATAAAACAATATAGATAGAGGGATTCAGTGAAAATTTAAAATTCAGTTGAGACTGTATAAAATCTAGGTTATCTGAAAGTAAAATTCAAAAAAATCACTTTGTATAAGGGAGATTTTACTCTTATTAGGTTCATATCTTTTTAAGCACCGAATGCATGAAAAGGAGTATATGTTATATAATTCCCTCCTCAATAATATCTGAATAGAACTTTAATGTAATAGAACTTCCTTCCCTCTGTTTTTTCGAGATGGAATCTCATGTAGCTCAGGCTGGCCACAAACGTGGGGTGTCATTAAACTGAGCCTTAAACTCTGATCTTGCCTCCATCTCCCAAGTATTAGGATTATGGTCATGTACCACCATATCCAGCAATGCATTTTTAAAATATTTTCTTTCTTGTTTATTGATTATTTATTTACTTATTTATTTATGTGTATGTATGTATGGGCTCGCGTGTGCCATTGCTCGCATATACCATGGTGTTTTGGGGTCAGGGGACAATTTGGGACAGTTGATTCTCTTCTACCATATGGGTTCCAGTTGAACTCAGGTCCTCTGGCTTGGTGGCAGGCACCTCTGCCTTCTGAACCATCTCACCTGCCCCTCAACAATGTATTTTTAGTGAGTTAGATCCATGAGTGTGAAAATGAGGGAACTGACTGTGTCTCAGTGGTTGAAATGTACTGTTTCTTGAGTGCCAACCTGTGCCAACAGCTTATAGAAATGAATTCTGATTATTTCTGCAGTTCTGCCACTGTGAAAAGGTTAACTTTTTTTAGGATCCTATACCTGTTACATGGTAGAGCTGAATTTGATAATCCAGTTTCATTTATCTCTTTATTCCACACCTTCAATAATCTTCTACATAGTATCAACCCTAAGTTATCAAGAAGGAAAGCTAAATGATGTGCTGACTATTTTTTTTAGGCCACAGACTTTGAGGCTTTAAATAACGTTCTTCTGAGTGTTTTTGTAGTCCTTTCCCCTCCTTATTAACCACTGGTCAGCTGTTGCTTCTCAAAGCTGTTGTCAAATGTGACACAAGTGGCAGCTTCTCCCCTGAGCCTCCTTATGTGATTGACACTGGAAATGAAGGAACTGGGCTTGTCAGAACTGAGTATGAGATGCGAGTGAAAAAGTACAAGTGACACTGGAGGGAGCCCACCAGGGTCAAATCAGTGAGCTTTATCGGTACGCAGACTTCGCATTGTGTTGTGTGAATGCTTAGGGTCCTTTTAAAGTTACAGCCTGGCCAGGTATGGTGGCGGACGCCTTTAATCCCAGCACTCAGGAGGCAGAGGCAGGCGGATCTCTGTGAGTTCAAGGCCAGCCTGGTCTACGTAGTGCGTTCCAGGACAGCTGGGGCTACAGGGAGACCCTGTCTCAAAAAAACCAAAAAAAAAAAAAAAAAGTTACAGCCTGATATTGGGCTGTGTTTCTGCTTTGGAGGTGTAGACTGCTCTTCAGGGTACTGTTACATACAACCCCTGGATGCAGCATCATTACCTTCCTGGCATGTGAGGAAAAAGTTAGTGAAAATTTCCATGGGCTCATTTTCTTAATTTAACAATTCTCATCTGTATAGTCAACTTTTCTTCATTTGTTCCATAAGACTATGGTGTTCAATTATAATGATAATGGCCCATAATTCCTTACATCTTAAATTTTTCATATAAACTCCTATTTAGTACTATTGATATACTTTTCCTTAAAATGAGGTCAAATAGTAATAGATACTCCACATAGTAGATGTTCAGTTAATGTTTATTGAGTGAATAAAAGATAGATGAATGAATGAGTTAATAAATGTAAGTAATTAATTGATTTACACATGTAGATGAGTTTTTATGGATTTTTTTTATGTTTATAAAACAAAACTTCTTTTTATAGCCATAAGCATATCTTTACATTTGCCAGCTTATTCTGCTGGATAATTCAAGTGGATAAAAAAAACCCCACATATATTTCCCTTATCATTGATAACAATTCCAGGGAGAAGTTTTTAAAGAGAAAAATAAATATTTTAATTATTCATCAGAATGGAGACAGTAGAGAAAAATCTGACAGCTGAACTGAACTGAGAGTAAAATAGTAACTTCCAGTGGTCTTCGTCTTTACATGTCTTTTGATTCTTCACTAGATCTTAGACTGTTTGAAGACGGGAGGATGCCACCTCTTATTTTTCTATCATTTTATGGCATCTATGTTGATGTTTCCATGAATTATATTCTCAGCTGATGACTCAGCGATTGCTCCTTTTTGCCTCATAACTTTAATGTTAAATGAAGTAGGGGAAATGCCATATATAGATTTATCTTCCCACAAAATAACATTTCTAATATAAAGGACACACCTTTGGTTCCTAGCTTTTTCACATATGAAAAAGGTGAGCGTGTTGGATAGTCATCTATACAGAGCTCAAGGATTTTAAAAACAAATATGCTAATTTTGGAAGTAATCATATTGATTATAATAAATACTGTGGAGTAACATTTATTATAGGATATGTGGTATATTTTATATTTTGAGGTTTCAGAGTATAACCCTGCTCTGTGTATTTCTAGAATATATTGTGAGGATAAACAGACCTTCTTGCAGGACTGTGAGGATGATGGGGAAACAGCAGCTGGGGGCCGTCTTCTTCATCTCATGGAGGTAAGTGTGAGTTAAACTCTGAATTTGCACTTATGGGCCATGTATAAATAAGTAATTTATCTGAATGATATAACATGTATTGGTTTTAAACATTGATTGAGAAGAAATTTTTACTGCTGGCTATAACTTGGGCAGCAAATGGTTAATAACAAATGCTGTGCTTTTAAGAAATAAATACAAAATTGTCTTCAACTTTGGGAAAACTTCTGTGTGTTTCTTGGAAATTTCCTCCACTCCTTTTCTTGTATCTCTGTGGAACTCAATTTTAAGTTGGAAATTGAAACTTCAGTGTAGATTCCGAATGTTTTGTTTGTTAAAATTAAATTGTCCATCTCATTCTCTTTATATTTTGAGACATTTTCTTGACTGTCTTTCAAAATTCCTATTGAATTTCTGTATTTTTCTATAACCTCAAATTTAATTTTTCAGAGTTTTTCTGCTGCTTTTATTTTTGTCTCTTGCTCTGGTTTTATGGATGTAATGGCTTCTACAGTTTCTTGACTCTGCTAACTAGGGTTTCTTTACACAGATGTTCTGGCCTCCCGTTCTTCCCATCCATTTTAGCCTGTTTACCTTGTCCTTTCTCTTTCATGCTGCTGGATTTCCTTCATCTGTCTGGTGATCATTGATTGTCCATTAATTTTAAGAATGGATTATTTTTTTCCTCAGGTAGTTAACATGGTTTCTTCTACTATTGTATGTGGAGCTTTGCTTTCTAACTAGGCCTCTCCCTGAAGTGGGAACGCTGTGGGGCTCAAGCCTGTGCACCGGTGGGCTTTACTTTAAAGGCAGCATTTGACAAATGTCAAACCGCTGAGGACCATTTGGCAGACACCAGGCATGGCTCAGGAAGGCCCCCTTTTCTCCAGTAGCTTGTTCAAATGCAAGGTTTTGGTTGTTTAACCTACTGGTAAAAGGCTGCCTAAACTGAGCTTTGTGGTTGAGTCATCAAGAACTGGAACCCTACCTGCATGGTCTCCCCTTTGCTCTGACAGGTGGCCCCAAAGTTTAGAGTTAAGGACACTAGGACACGGCTCCTTCTGTCTGACGTTTCTCCCTGAAGTGTTGGTACCCTTCTCAGCATCCTCATAGGTGCTGCTGTTAAAGTCAGTGGGAGATTTTTTGTGTGATTTTGTTAGCAGTTACTTCACTCTTCTTCAAAACTTACATTTGTATGTCTATTTGTATGTCTGATTGTGCTCCTGAAAATAACAGATCCTGAATGTGAAGAACGTCATGGTGGTGGTCTCACGCTGGTATGGAGGGATTCTGCTAGGACCAGATCGCTTCAAACATATCAACAACTGTGCCAGAAATATACTAGTGGAGAAGAACTTTACAAGTTCACCTGTAAGTAGCTATTGATGTTACTATCACTGTTCCTGTCACTGTCTGCAAAATTGCAAAAAGAAAATTAAGAATAAATGAGAATGTGGATGTTGCATTAGTAAAACTGTTAAACTAGGAAGCTAAAGACTTAGGCCTTAGAATGATTGAATAGTCTGATTTTATAATTTATACAGCTTATATTGGGAAAAAAACCTACTAAATCTCTTTAAATACCATCTGCCCTCCATGCCGTCAAACTGAAGCCCAGAGGATGGAGCAAATGCCACACTGACTAGATGTTCTTTAAAAATATTTTATTTACTATTTTTATTTTATGTGTACGAGTATATTGTCTTCATGTACATGAATGCACCCATGTCGTGCAGTGCCCATGGAGGTCAGAAGAGGGGGTGAGATCCCCTGGAACTGGAGTTACAGACGGTCGTTAGGAATCAAACCTGGGTCTTCTGCAAGAGCAGCCAGTGATCTTAACCATGGAACCACCTCACTAACCCCAGACTAGATAGATGTTCTTGAAGCAGCTATAGAATTCTAAAATTGTGTTAGTGTCAGAGCACATATGCTTCCCCAGTATGTCCTTAGCAACTTTCTTTATAGTTTGAGTTTATTTTGCTTCATGCTTTGGGTGTATTCTTATGTATTTTATTTAGGCTTTACTGCATTACTTGGAAAATAGCTATAGATTGAATAGTATTGAGATTGTTGAAACATAAATGTACTAGGTAAAAATGTTTTCTTTTTTCTTTCTTTTTTATTTTATTTTTGTTTGTTTTTTTGAGACAGGGTCTCCTGTAGCCCCAGCTGTCCTGGAATTGCTATGTAGACCAGGTTGGCCTTGAACTCACAGAAATCCTCTTGCCACTGCCTCCCAAGTGCTGGGATTAAAGGTGTGTACCACCATGCCCGGCTAAAATGTTTTTCTTGATTAACTTTGATTTCCATGAAAATATTGTTATTGCCTATAAGTGAGAGTGTTTTCAAGACGTAAAGCTAGTATAGACCATATGATCAGAGTAACGTTCCATCTGCCTATTCATGTGGAGATGCTGTATTGAGTTGTTTCTTTTTCAGGAGGAATCGTCTAAGAGTTTGGGAAAGAAAAAAGTGAAAAAAGATAAGAGGAGGAGTGAACATTGACACCTGAACCTGCATGAAAGGTTAATTTGCCCTCAGTTACATACACATTCCATAGTAGTCGAGGAATGTGTGAAGAGCGTCATTGACTGCTCAAGCCAGCTGACTCATCATGGACACCAGCATTCTGTGTTCTTCTTTGGTTATATCATCTGCCAAAATAGAGAGCTTGTGATATGTCCACCTGTTTCAGGCTTATTTGGGAGGACTAATTTGAGCTTAATCAGTACATCATATAATTTTAGGGAGCTAGCAGTTGCTGAGGGTAGGCTCTGAGTTAACTGTGCATTTCAGTACATGTTAAGTGCCTTTGTTAGGTGGGGAAGAAATAGTCCTCTTTAGAGGACTATAAATACCTGATTTCTTGTCCTAGAAATTCTTATACTGTTAAATGAACATAGCCCTTTACTGCTCTCTATGGTTATTGGAGGAGAGGCTCATTGAAGACTAATCTTGGAGAGTTTTCTTATGATTTCAGCTCATAAATATGTCACTTTTCATTTTATAATGCTCATCATGGAGTAATAGAGTAAGTGAAAATCCAGGAGTATCCATCTGTGATCATGTCCCAAGGTGATAATTCTAACATATTTGCTAGCCCAAGTGTTATGTCTCAATTTCAGTTGCAAATTGGTGATCTTGAAATTCAAAAAGTGATTTTCTAATCTGTCTTTGTGTGTTTAATTCTTGTGATGTAAAACAGTGAACACTAAGTGTCAGCAGTCCCTCCATCCCTAACATGCTAAGTTAATGTGTGCAGTACCCTGGTATCTTTTGAACAACCTGGAAGTGCTTTGTCGTGTTCTTCACTGAGAAATTAGAACTTTTGCAAGCTGTGCTGTGGTTAGTGCCATGTGTAGAACCGGGATAAAGGTGGTGGAATGCGGAATGCCTCTGGTGTAAGGTGAGAATTGCTATAAAGTTGATACACACTTCCCCCCGGGAACCCAAACGAAATTTTTTTTTTTTTTTTTTTTTTTTTTTGGTCTTTGTGAGACAGGGTCTCCCTGTAGCTCCAGCTGTCCTGGAACTCACTATGTAGACCAGGCTGGCTTTGCCAAATGAATTTTTTTACTTCCATGATTTCTGTTGAGAGATGGAGAAACAAATCTTTTAATCTGAAGAAAATGCTTTCCCTGCTGATTCTTAGCAAATCTGCCTTTTTATCAGTGTTTTATTTCTCATCTTTATGTTACTTACAGGGCATAAGACAGTAACTTTGCAGTAGGCAGATCCTTTCAGATACGATGCCAATAATTACTAAATTGATCAACTGATCACAGACCTAGCTGGGGCTCCCTTCCTGAGGAAGGGGACCAAAATTAAGAGGCAGCTTTGTAATGGTGCTAGAGCACGGGAAGCACTGGACCCTGGGAAGTTGTTTTTCTCTAATTTTTAATGTTGAAAGAGCCACTGCCTTACTTGATATTTTAAATAAAAATCCTGTAAAGTACTTTATACTAGGATGGGTTCTGAGTAATAAAATCTTTTCAACATTAATTTAATGTGAATTATCAAGAGTTATGGGATGACCTATATATGTATATTTGAAACACTTCGTTTCAATGAAATGTTAAGTGTGGCCTATGTATTAACGGTTAAAGAAATTGGAGGATATTTATTAAAATCAAAATAATTTCACAATTTTGACATTTCAGACGCATGAAAGGTGATAAAAACAGTAAGAATTTGATCCTGAAGAAAAAAAGGAGTTAATTTTTCTACCACACCATATTTTAATTTCTTTCTTGGTGTTCTGTCTAACATTCATTTGATTCTTTACAGAGCACAAAATGTTTTATGTCTATGATCCTATTTTTCCTTACTTAAATTTTTTTCCTCCCCCCCTTTCTTTCACAAGATTACTAACCACATTTATGGAATAAGGTCCCTAATCTCCTTTACTACAGATCATTCATCCAGTAAGAGGAGAGATCGAAAAGTTTTCAGCTCTAAATCCTGAATTGTATGTTTTACACTTGACATTAATGCAAAATAACTAATGATAACATATTTTCTCTATTAAAAATAGAGAAAAATCATAAATGGAGAATTTTCCAATTCTCTGAATAATAATTTTATATAACCAGATATATGCTGTGGCATTCTTTATGTCACATTAGTTAAAAGTACTCCCCATATGCCAGTATCTAAAAGGAGCATCTACTTCTAAGTAGGGACAGCAGTGGCTGCATTGGTGGGATGCTGAGGAGATGTGTATGATAAAATAGGCTGTTGAAGAACAAAGACTAACCACAGAACAGAGGAAGCAGATACTGTTTGGGGCAGGTGAAAAATTTTGGGAAAATTGTGTAATTGCATCCAGTTCCACTATGGAGAGAACCATGAACATTGGGTGTATACATTTATTATTTTTCTTATGCATAATTTTGTATATATGGCTATTTTTCTTTCCACAAAAATGGTATTAAACTGTATATACTGTTTTGTAGCCTACATATTTCATATAGAAGTATATTGTTAACATTTTCCCATGTCAATAAATATTCTTCTATGGTTTAAATTCTTATGGGTGCATTGCATTCTGTCTTCTGGGCACAACATGAATATGAGCTCATCCCCCAATTGTTGCCAGCTTTTTTTCTTCTTTCAGTTTTTGACTGTTACAAGCAAATGTGAAAAACTTCACTATACGAAGATTTTTATATGTATCTCTATTAGGAAAAACTAGAAATGGAATTCCTTCAAACCAGAGGGAACCATATTAGTCCAACAACCTCCTGACAAATTATACATACAACTAGTTCAAGGAACAAAATATATGTCTAGTCAAGGTTTTTCCAAGAATGTTGGGGTTTTGCCCAAGCTTTATCTACATAGCACATGGTAATTAAAAAGTACCAGACTGGTGGAACTAACCTTCTTGGATGTTTAACAGCCATACTTTGAGGCCTATATTAATCTGGTTAGAGGGACAAAAAGGACAGTTTTTTGCTCCTTGCCCTCCATGATCGACTAAGTTCCAGGGGACTATGGAGCATCTCTCAAAATGTCCTGTAACTGGTAATTCACCTGTCCTCTTGTTCAGGGACCCCATCAGATGGACTTGAACAGTGTTCAGTCTACAAAGAGGAGGGTTAACACAGAGGAAACATTTCCTCCATGCTTCCAAGTGAAGCCAGTCATGGTCGAGTAGGACCTATGACTTATCCTCACATAACTGGAACTGGTAAAAGAGAGGAGCCAGGGGCTCCTCCCAAGCCATGTGATCCTGAGAAACAGATCTTCAAACTACCTTAAGAGTAAAAATAAATTGGTTTTTTTTGGGGGCCAAATGTATAGTCTTAAACACCCAAAAAGAAAGTAAAACCAAAGATTAAAGTGATCAGTATATATCTTTAAGAGTTCAAGGAATTACACTTCCCAGACATTAAGCTTAAGTCCATATATAGTTATTTAGACAATTATTTCTCATTGATAATTTTGTTTCTAAGCAGAAAGTCCTGCTCAGATGTAAGACTTCAAATCTTGGTCTGCAAGACTATAGTGCCCACCTGTAGCTAAGGGAGACAACCCACTGTTCTAAAATGATGCCTAAATTTGTTTTCTTCCCCTATCTAGAAGCCTTGGAGAGGGAACTGACACTGATTCTATCCACTCCAACAACTATCAAAGTGCCTGAAAACAAATCCTGAGTTCATCACTCTCGAGTCTAGCCTTGGCAGACTAAAGAAAAATGAGGAGATACCCAATAGAGGGATGCTTTTGGAAGCTCTCGTCAAGAAATTCAATGGACTCTGATACAAACATTTGAAATTTACCCTGTTCTGACCTTTTTCTGGTTCCCTGTCTAGAACTTGATTTGATCAAAACACCTTATATGCATGCATAACATTCTTTAAGTTAAATTTTTTTTAATTTTTTCATTTTAATATCTTACAAATTTATTCATATGTTTTCCTACTATATCACATCCTTTTTACCTATACTAAGGTTTTCCATTTTCTGATTTATATTAAATAATTTTTGCTTATTCAAGACCTAAAGCATTGTTTCTTAATAGCATCTATTTTTTGAAATTTTCTCTTCAAAATAATTGTATGTTCACAGGAAGTTTCAAAGAAATATTTCAGGAGTTCCTTTCCAGTATTGTTTTTAGGTCTCTCAGAATTTAACATATTACATAACTACAGTACAATTCTTTTATCAAACAGAATGTTAATACTGGATCTTATAGATTTAATTTTTTTAAATTTAATAACCACATGATTAGAAAAAGCATTTCATTACAGCTTTAACATATTCAGTAACACATTCCAGAGCAAGGATACATCTCTTTCAAAGGTGGCTGTAAATTTTTAGGTTCACAGTTGAATTAATACAGTCATACAATATTGAACTCAGTATAAACCCTGCAAAATTCATATTCATTTTATTTGTAGGAGTGTATTGCCTGCATGTGTGTTAGTGCACCTGTGTGGTGCAATGCCTGGGGAGGACAGAAGAGAGCATCAGATCCCTTGGAACTGGGAGTTACAGATAATTGTTAGCCAACATGTAGGTGCTGGGATTTGAATCTGCAAGAACAGCCAGTGCTCTTAACTGCTGAGCCATCTCTTCAACCCCTGTAACTGTGCTTTATTTTGGGGTGTGTTGTTTTTTGTTTTTATATTTTTTAATTCAATAACCACATAATTAGAAGAAGCATTTCATTACAGCTTTAACATAACATTCAGTAACACATTCCAGAGCAAGGATATATCTCTTTCAAAAGTGGCTGTAAATTTTTAGGTTCACAGTTGAGTTAATACAGTTATACAATATTGAACTCAGTATAAACCCTGTAAGAAAATTGAAGAGTTTTTACCCTTTAAAGAAGATCTCTATTTCATTTTAACATATGCTGTTTCCTACATTTTTAATGCTACTATCACTTAGATGTTTGCACATGTGTCTTTAATCTCTATGTATCTGATTATTACTAGTCATAGTCAGTTACACTCGGATCCTTAGTATCTGAGTATGGATATAAAGTCATCAGGTAGATTTCACTGGTAATGTTTATCACCTCTACTGTTTAACATGAAGTAAATTTTTATGCTTCCTCCTCAAATATGTCTTTTAATTTGTTTTTTTTTGTGTGTGTGTCAGTGTGTATATCATACAGAACATCCCACACAATCTTACTTATCTATATACCCATTTCCCAAATGACACCCTCCCATAGCCTCCCCCCTCCCACACACTGGGGCCCATATACTGTGTCATCCCTGTTACTGTCCACTGTGTTGTCGGCACCCCTAGCCATTCCCCAGTGCTTGTCTGCTGAATCCAGTCAACCTATCTAGAGAGCCTTGTTTTAGGAAAATCAGCTGTTCCTCATCTAGCAGCAATCAGTTGTCAATATTCCTTTAGATAAGACTGGGGCATACTGTTCATTTTCCCACTTCTATGCTGGGTTACTGCCTGGGAGTCTTTTGAGCCAGCCTGGCCAACAACTCAAAGGAAGGTATCTCTGAATTATACATACAACCAGATCAAAGAATATAATATATGTCTAGGCATGATTTGTCTGAGAGAGTTTGGTCTTTGCCCAAGCTCTATCTACATGGCACATGGTAATTAAAAGTACCAGACTGGGGCTGGAGAGATGGGTCAGTGGTTAAGAGCACTGACTGCTCTTGCCGAGATTCCGGGTTCAATTCCCAGCACCCACGTGGCGGCTATGAACCGTCCTTAACTCCAGTTCCAGAGGAATCTGAAGCCCTCTTCTGACCTCCCCAGCATTGCACAACATGGGTGCACTCACAAACATACAGACAATACACTTGTACACATAAAATAAAAATAATAAATATTAAAAAAGAAAACGTACCAGACTGGTGGAACTAACCTTCTTGGATGTTTAACAGACATACTTTGAGGCCTATACTAATTTGGTCAGAGGGACATAAAGGACAGTTTTTGCTCCTTGCCCTCCTAAGTCGACTAGCTCCAGGGGACTATGAACACCTCTCA